AAATTAGAGTGGATGATTGTGGAAAAACCAAGGGATGCTTTAGGTTGGTGTAGAATAAAATGTAGATATCTTTCAGTTTATAAACGTTACTTGATTTCACTAGGGACACTAGTAAATGTCCCACATTCATTTTACTAAATGTTTATTGTCTGCAGATATTCATCATGATCAGGGGACTACGTTGTTGTTCATCAGTTGATGAGCACTTACAGAAATAGTCTAAATGGCTTTGTCTACACTATAAGGTTTTTGCGGCAGAGTATGCGGCAGAGTTGTGATGACATTAGCATATTTTCTGCTGATGCTTTTGCACAAGGAGGGATTTTGGATCTTGTGGAAAAGGGTTTGTTTTATGCCGGAGAGGCATAAGGATCTTGCACAAAAGGGTTTTTTTTGTGCAAAACGGAAGTGGCTACACTGCTTCTTTTTGCGCAAAAACCCCTTGTGCAAAAAGAAATGGCAGAAAATATGCTAATGACACTGTAACTCATGCTAATGAGTCTGTCATTAGCATACTCTCTGCTGCAAAAATCTTAGAGTGTAGACATAGCCAATGAGATCAATCTGCTACACCTTTGAATAAATGCTCACCTTAATGAACCAACATTTCCCCCATCTTACCATAAAAGGATAATTATGGTTAACATTGTAATTTATAGTATTATAAATCAAATACAACATAGTATAGAAATACGTTCTACCAATATCTGAAAATTTTTGTGACCGCCACCATTGACAACAACAAATCATACTGTGTTCAAGTTTTTGATGTAGAAACACAGGTAAGCGAAAGCAACAACAACAACAAAAGCTGTTTGTATTCTGAATGGTGGGGAAAAGATAGATATTCTGTTTTCCTATTTCATTCAGGTATGGCAAACCTGGATGTAATGCAGAGACTTGTGACTATTTTCTCAGCTATCGTAGAATAGGAGCTGATGTAGAGTTCGAATTGAGTGCTGACACCGATGGCTGGGTGGCAGTAGGATTTTCCTCGGACAAGAAAATGGTAAGACCAACAAAATGCAATGTTTCATATTAACAAGAATACAAGCTGTTATGCATTAGAATAAGCACAATTTCCATATATTTGAAAAATATATGTCAAATGTAGAGAAATACTGAGAAATATATGATAAGAAATATTGAATGTTTGCATGTTTTTTATCTCTAGTGTGCATGACGCTTTGCAAAGGACGGATGAGTATTATGAATCCCACTGTTCCAGATCAGAAAGCAGAGCTGTAAAGAGATAAAGTGAAAATCACACCCAGGCTAGGGTTGCCAGATGGTTGAAACAAAAATACCGAATACCCCCACCCCAAAAAACAAGAAAAAAGTCTGTTGACGGGGTTAAAACGGGGGGGCGGGAGGAGAGAGGGAGACCAAAGTTATTGACATTTTAGGTGTCCGGTAGTCTCTGAATTTTTTTTTACCGGACAGGAGCCGAAAATACCGGACGGTCCAGGTGAATACCAGACACCTGCCAACCCTACCAACCACTAGACTCTCCTGCCTCCTTTCAGAATGAAAGAGTACAGTGATCTTTGGCATCTGCTGTTGAATGCAAGACTTAATGATATTTCCTCATTTAATTTAAAAAATAAATTCAAGTTTTATTTTCTAAGTGTTCTGTACCAGTGTTTAATGGAGCAAAGTATACATCAAAAGTTAGTAAAATGTAGTTTTCTTGAATAAGTTAATTATTTTCCCACTGTATAAATCTGGACTTAACTGTTAAACTCTTAAGGGGATTCCCACTACCTTTTTCTTCCACCACCAACCATCCCATGTTCCCAGAAAAGCCAGGTGAATTTAAATGTAAATGCTATATAAAGCAAGCCTCTTTTGATTTGTTCTTTTGTTTTAAAAATAGTTTTTAAACAGGATTGTCTCCTATTTATTCCTGTTCCTGTGGCTTTTTTATATTTCAGAAGCATTATTTGTTTTGGGGTTTTATAAGAGGAAACAAGAATTGAAAAATAGAATTCTCTTATACAACTAGTGAGTCTCATTAATGTATGTAAACTTAGAACACAATTTACAATGCTATCTATAACTGATTGTATTTTGAAACATACGCATCTGCAAAATAGTGTTATTGTAATACACCTCAAGTCAAAGGGAAGAGTGTTTACAATCTAATTATAAAGTTGAATGTGGATCCTATACGCTGGAAAATGAGAACATGTTTAACGGTCCATAACCAGAGCCTACTGAAGCAATAGAAAGACAGATATCACTTGCTTGCTTTGATCATGCCCAAAAGGAGGAGCACAAATAAAATGGAAGGGGGGATGCTTCCCATCCTACCCATGTAAACAAGATTATATGTTGTACATAAACAGTACGTTTAGACTACAGGCTTTTGTCGACAAAGGCTTTGTCGACAAATACTGTCAACAAAGTTTTTGTCGACAAAGAGCGTCTAGACTACATCCAGTTCTGTCGATAAAGCAAGGCGCTTTGTCGACATGAGAGTGTAGATGCAAAGGACAGTGTAGATGCAATAACACCTTCTGTCAACAGAACTCTGTCGACAAAAGGCGTTATTCCTCGTAGAATAAGGTTTACCGCCGTCAACAAAACTGCCGAGTTCTGTCGACGTTATGTCAACAGAACTCGGCGGTAGTGTAGACGCAGGTATAATTTTGTTGACAAAAGCCCACTTTTGTCAACAAAACCCTATAGTCTGGTCACACCCAAAGATATCAGTGTGCCTCCAGTATGCTTCATGTAGTCTTAAGAAATAGTTGTAGGGCCAAATTTTAAAAGGTATTTAAGAACCTTAGGCTAGAGATAGGCACCTAGTGGGATTTCCAAAAGCACCTAGGCATGTAACCTGATAAGAGACTAGGTGACGGATTTTTAAACATGCAAACAGTAGGGACCTCAACAAGTTGTCAACTAGATGATTAACTGATAAGCCTGTTAATCTTGTCAACTACTCCCAATCCCCCTCCCCTGTTGCCTCTGTATCAGAGGTAGTGTGGAAGAAAACAAGCCTTCACTCTGCATTTGTGAGCAACAAGTAGTCAGAGAGAGTTTATTCGAGCAATATTGCAAGGGAAGAAGCTGCTGCTAGGCAGATTATCAAATACAAAACAATTAGAAGCCAATATATATACTATCTGTTTATAATAACAATAAACAATTATTCCCCTTTCCATAACAGTTCCCTTCAGACGCCACCTTATCTCAAGGTCTTCACTAGAGTCAGCATTCTATCCTTATCTCAAGCACAAGAGAGAGAGAGGCGAAAACAGCGTCTCTCACAGTACTCTGTTGTTAGGTCTCAGAGTTTGCATGAGTTAAGCTAACCAAAAGGTCAAAATGGCTACATACAAATCCTTTGGCTTCCACAGTAGCAAGGGGAAGGAGCAGGAGTTGGTGCTGGGGGGAGCTGGCTTAAAAGCTGGTTCCTCCCAGCACTGGCTCTGTGGCGCTTGCTCCTCCAAGTGCTGCTGCTTTTATCGGAGGCAGCAGGAGGGGAGGGGAGGGGATGAGAGGGAAGGCTGCTTCAAGGCAGCCTCTATCTACAGGGGTTTCGAGGTCCCCACAGATAGAGGCTGCTTCACCTCTACTGGAGCAGCCTCTGTCCACAGTGAGGCTGGGCCCACAACAGGCAGAGGCTGCTTTGTGGTAGTATCCTCTGTTTGTGGGGAAATTGAACTCCCCTCAGACAGGGGTTGCTGCCATCCCGCTCTGCTGATTTTTAAACTGGCTCCCCTCGTGGAGCGGCTCTCCCTGCCATCCTGTGCTGCTGGCCCTGTCCCGGGAGCTATAGAATAGTTGTGTAACCATTAAGATTTTATGCGGTTACATTATTATTCAAACACTCGATATCTAACATGCCTAGCAGACAGGTGCCTAGAAAAATTAAGTGGCAACGTGCAGCCTTATCCTACATCCAGTAGATGGCACCCTCACACAATCATAAGGTTTTCAAACCTGCTATGTATGAGATGCTGTACATCACTTTATCAGGCTACAATGATCGGGCTACCATGCCATATGTCATTTCAGTCTTAATTGGTTGTTATATTTGTTAGTTTCATCTATTTCCCAGTAATTTCTTGGCCAAATGAGTGTCATGTGCCGAAAGTGTCCGTCTGCTATGTACATTGGACAAACATCTCAGACATTTCGCCAAAGGATTAATGCCCACAAAACAGATATCAGACAAGATCACAAAGAGAAAACAGTTTCTTGCCACTTTAACCAGAAAGGACACTCTCTAAATGACTTAGCCACCTGCATTCTGCTACAAAGACCTTTTACATCTGCACTTGAAAGGGAATCCTCTGAACTGTCATTCATGTTAAAATTCGACACTTGTCAACAAGGACTTAACAAGACTTTGAACTTTCTCACCCATTACCAAGACAGTTTCCCCAATTATCACCTGTAATACCATTAACTCACAAACATCCCACTCTCCCTACCTTTAATATCAGCAATTCACAGACACTTACCTTCCTTCCTCCCCCTTCCCACCCCCCCGCATCCCCCTTCTGTTCTGCAATGTGATTTGTCCTTTTCATATTTGTTCATTTTTTTTAATTGTATCCTTTGGTATATATGGTTGTGACTACTTTCTTCCACTATTTGATCTGAGGAAGTGGGTCTGGCCCACGAAAGCTCATCATCTAATAAACCATCTTGTTAGTCTTTAAAGTGCTACATTGTCCTGCATTTTGCTTCTACAATATATTGTGATTGTTGTTATATGCAATTTTGAGCTTTCAGGCACTAGGGCTGAAAGCACTCATTTCTCATAGGGATGTTAAATATTGGTTAATAGAATAGTTGAGTAACCTCATGAATTCTTATCGGTCAGTCGACTATTCTATAATCCCTGGGGGCGGGGCCGGCAGCCAGTGTGCTCCAGCCCCACTCTTGTGGAGCCCTCTGCACCTCGCACTGCTGCCTCTCCACCAGAGAGGCAGGGGGGGGGGGGGCTCACGGGGGCAGCAGTCCCTGTCTAAGGGGGCGGTCTGAACTTCCCGATCCAGCACAAGCCAGAACTGAGCTGGGCTGCCTGCCTGTCTGGCTCCTAATAGACTTTAAACGCAGAGCCGCAGCAGGGGTAGGTTCTGGACCCAGCACGAGTCCGAACTGAGCTGGGCTGCTGGCCAGTCCTGCTAAAAAATGTACTGGTAAGGGTGGCAGGAGGGAAATGCATGTATTTGATAAGCAAAAGCTTATAGGTTAATGGTATAAATTAATCAGTTCATCGACTACACTACATCCCTAGTTCCATGGTGGAATCAAGTCCCTATTTTTGGCCTGAGCAATCAGGCATAGTTCAGGGAAGAAAATAAAAACTTGATTCTTTGATAAATTATTTCTTCATTGCTCCGTGCAACTTTTAGTATACTTTCTTTTGTCTCAGCATAATGCTTGTTCCCTTTTTGTGCTCTTTCTCGTTAAGATTTTGTATTCCTTTTTTGTTAACTTAGGTTTAGATTTTATTGTTCTTATTTGTTGACTTAGAACTATATTCAGATACACTTGGTTATGCTGAATAACACATTATTCCACTCTTTGTCCTTTTGAAATGGATGGGATCATGCATAGAATATGTTGTGACTCTTCGTGAGCAGTGGTGTCAGAGTGTAGCCCTTATTTATTTATCACCAGCAATGTTCTTGTTACTGTCACATGTTCAGAAATAAGGCCAATCGTTGTCTTGAAGCATTTACAGTCAAAAAGACAGTAATGGGACCCACTGAGAACCCCAGAGGTGGGAATAATTTATAGGGATATGTCGGTTTCATTTGTAATTATTATCAATTAACTTTTCGTGGGCATAATGCAAAATGTCAGTTTTTAGGAGGGATTTCAGTGAGGAGAAGTTGGTGGTTCATAGTGAACTGAAATGGAGAGGTCATTCCATTGTAGAAAAAATGCACAGAGATGGGCAGAGAAGAAGGAACTGAATGAATCATCGTGGCTGGTGTCACCAGTGACGTTGTGGAGAAGGAACTGGATAGGAAAAAACACAGACAAGGTGGAGTTCTGTAGAAACTTGCCAACAAAGACTTAGGAAGTTTAAATTCAATGAGGGTATGTAACGGTGTCCCACAAGAAGGATTCCAGATGAAGATGACATGGCAAGAACGGCTAGGCAAGGGAAATAATTAAACAGCTATGGTTTTTTTTAATTGATTGGGTTGATAATTAGGGATCTATACATAGCACTTTTGACTAAAGAATAGTTGGCAAAACAACATTTAACTTGGTTTTGTTTTATTAATGTGGAAGGTGTTGTTTTTTAAAAACTCTCCTTGTTCTTAGAAAGAGATGAAGAATTCTTGCTCAAATTTATAAAAAATAAATTAAACATTTAAGCACAATTTACTCCTGAGGTGAAAGTTTTTGAAAGCAGTGACTGAAAACTGGAGATTAAAATGGAAGCCCTTCTGTAACCTCAACTGTAGCAGTTACTACCTCTTGTACAATGGTACCAAACATCTGGAGCTTTTGAATTCCTTCTTACCCAGTTCTTCCACTTGTCACGAGTTTCATAAGAATCTATGCATTTGTGGCAGCTAAATTAATGTGTCTCTCCCCTTACTTTGTCGATGTCTTTAACTGTCCATGCCCATTTTGTTCCTCCAAAGCAATTTGTTGCTACCAGGATTAGATGAGCAATGACTGTTATGCATTTTTTGCAACATGTATTAAAAAATAGACTAAAAAGGATAAAGTCAGCAAATGTTATTTCCTCCTTCAGTGTGAGGCGTTGATGACAGTACTATAGCTGTGGTACATGTTGTTACCAAGTGCAGGTTGGACCTGGCTGGTCCGGCACCCTTGGAATCTGACGGGTCCTGAACAAGAGGATTTGCTGGACCAGGGGAGGTTCCTCTCCTCCTGGCCCATGCTGCCACTGGGTTAGGGCTCCAGCCTGCCCCCACTGCTGCCCCAGCCTCCTGGGTCTCCTTAGATGCTGCTGGTCCCACTGCTGCTGGCACCAGAGTGCCACAGTCGAAGCTCTGCAGCTGGGGTAGAGCTCCACAGCCACCTGGCTCCATGGCTGGGGCCGGAGCTGCACAGTAAAGGGCTGGGGTGGAGGGCCGGAGCCAGAGCTCCATGGCCAGGGTCAAAGTTCCCTGGCCGCCTCTGAGGCTGGGGCTGGGGTTCCTCCCGTGCTGCCTGTTCCCCCCCCGCCACACACACAGTGGGCTCCCAGATGAGTTTCTTGTGCTACCTATGATGCTTCTGTCCTGCTGCCAGACCTCCCTGATCCTGGGCTCTGTGGTCTAGTAACATCTGTAGTCCATGCCAGACCACGGATGTTGCCGGACCAGGGATTCCTAGTTAAGGGAGGTACAACCTGTACTAACATCTGCACCACTAATAGGAACCCATACTTGCCAACAGCCTACAAAACTTATTTATTCCTTATGCTAACACTTCTGGGGGGCTGCATTTTGGGAAGCAGTAATATGTATTGAATGATCGAGTGTCTTTGCTGTATCAATAGTGTTTTTGAATAATTGTTTCAGGAATACAGTACAGGCAGTCCCCGACTTACGTCGGATCCGCACTTACGAATGGGGCTTTTCTTGCCCCGGAGCTCGCGGGCGGCGGGACCGCCCAAAGCGCAGCGGTCCTGCCACCGCGTCCTCCGGGGCGAGAAAAGCTGCTCCGGGTCTCCCTGGTGTGCTGGGGGGGACTCCCCAGCACAGCAGGGAGACCCGAGAAAAGCCGCACAGGCGACGGGACCCCGCTGCCCGTGCGGCTTTGCTCCTTTGCCCCGGAGCAAAGCCGCACAGGCGGCGGGGGGCCCCCCCCCCGCG